TTTAGTGAAGGTTGGTGCTGGCAGCAACAGTTCGGGGGCAAGTTCCGTCGCGGCTTCTGGATTCACCATGCACAAAAAGAGACTGCCGGGCTCCTGTTGAGAGGAAACTATGGAAACGATGGCATACAGGTTGATTTGTCCAGAGTGTACAGCATTACGGTAATCACGTGGGAAGCTTCGCCATGAGTGACAGTTGCCAAGGCGCAACACTTGCTTTATGCAGCATACGCAGCAGGCGCAAAAAATCGTGAGCTGATGCTGACCGAAGTATCGACCAATTGATGGTGCGTTGCTGTTGGCCGGAAAAGTGATGTTGTCATAGAAGCTCCAGGAAAATGCTGGGGAAATCAGTCGCAATGTTTATCGTTTTTTCGGCGCATCGGGGCACACTTGCACACATCTTGCGCATGAAGTATTTGACATCTGCAGTTTCAAACTTATTGATGGAACTTGGTGTGCCTCGGTGTGCGCTGCAGCCTGTTCAAAAGCGCACTGCATGTTCACATTATTTGTTGCCTTCCGATGACCCTGCAGGTTCTGAATACTTATCACTAAATTCTTGAAAATGGCCGGCTCACGCAAGTGGCATAGTGCTCTCGCATGCCTGGCTTGGGCAAGTGTGTTTGGATGCTTTGTAACGCCACAGGCCACAAGCGATCCACTGCGTTCAGTGAAGCTGCGTGGTGCAATGAGCAAGACTGATGCTGAGACCTACCTTGCAGCACCTGAAATCAAACAAAGTTGTTGACAGAGATGCAGCGATAGGTGCCCTGGTCTGCGCAGTTGAAGATACTGGTTCGCTGACCTTGGTTTCGGGGGGCAAAACAATTGGGCAAGTCGTTTCCTCAAGATGCCAGATGCAAGAGCTACAACGGTGCAACTCCACCTGTCGCAGATAAAAGGGAAAAGGCTGGGCCTGCGCAGAGCAAAAGATGTGTAGGCGACTGCAAGTGTTCGCCGCAGTGAATTTGACGAGACCGCTTGCGCCAAATCAAGGCCAAAAAAGTGTAGGGAAGCCCGACAACACGCAGCGTTGCCGTGCCTAGCAGAGCTTGCCTATCCGACGCAGAGTCGGTTTGCTGCAAGCAGGCACTAGTGACTGCGCGAAAGGCGCTTGCCGCGCTGAGTTTGATGAGAGCGCGTGTGCCAAATCAAGCCGAGTGAAGCCAAGGGAAGCCAAGCGAAGCCAGACAACACAAGCAGATTGAACAACTCACGCCTGTTGACCTTGCGCGGCGCAGCGTTGACGTGCCGAGCCCAAGCAGTGTTTGCCTGTCCGACGCCGAATCGGTTTGCCGCAGAGCATGTCGCAGCGCGAAAGACATGGGTAGGCGGCTCCCACGGAAATTGACGAGAGCGCTTGTCGGCTGCTGATTGAACTGTTGGACAGTTCTGCCCTGCATTTCGCTGTGTTTAGGATTGGACGTGTCTGCCCTATGCAGCAAATGTGTTTGCCACACGACGCTGAGGGAAGCCGCGCGAAGCCAAGGGAGCCAGGCGACACGAGCAGATTGAACAACCCCACGCCTGCGTTCTGCAGAATGGCCAGACAATATGCGACGCAGCGGCTTCGTCATCTCTTGGGCGCGCTTTCCCCTTATACCTAAGGGCGCCCAAGAAGAAGCACACTGCGCAAGCGACATGAGTGCTCAGTGCCGTATAGGAATTGGTAACACCCGGCGCATAGGTGTATTGCACTTACGCTGGGCCTAGAGACAGCAGCATGGATGAAGACAGGCGCCTGCTCGGAAGTGAAAGAGGAGGATCAGAAAATGAAATTTCAAGGACAAGGAGGATCGCATGCATCCGATCGCAGGTTGCATGCTGCGTGCTCATCAATAGTAACAGGGAAAAGGGTGCAAATGAAAGCAAACGCGGCAGTGCGAAGTAGAATCAGGAAAGGGGGCACAAAAGGCGTGAAGCGAACGTCCGGTAAATGCTGTGAAAGTTACACCTGCCGCAACTTTGCAACTTTGCTCTGCGCAACTTGGCTCGGCTGAACGCAGGTTGGCTCTGTGCAAGTTGGCTCTGTGCAATTTGGCCCAACGACCCCGCGCGGAAGAACCCTTCGTGATGGTCTCGGGAAAAAGGAAAACGGAAAGCGCATGGTCCACCATAGACAGCCACAGTTTCTGCAAGGCGGGCTCATGCAACTTAATTTGGTCTGTGCAAGATGGCTCTGTGCAACTTGGCAAACTTGGCTCTGCGCAAGCTACTTTTCGCGAGTGACTCTGCGCAGCTGGTTCGGCGCTCAGGCTAAGCATCTTGCGCTCAGATTCAGGCGCTGAGCATCTTGCGGAGAGAAACTCCCGCAGAGCAACGTGCGCAGAACAGTTTGAAGACAGATGTCGAGCCGTTTGCGCGCAGCAGCTTGCAGAGAGCAACTTGCAAGCCTTGAGCAGCGCAGCTTGCGCAGACCACGTGCGTGAGAAATCACGCAGCGCAACTGGCGCGCAGCGCATTGCAGTGAGCAGACATGCACAGCGCCAACTTGCGCGCACCCTTCTCGTACTACGCGTATACTTATAAGTTTGATACTACGCAATTCCAGCTGGAGCTGTCGAGGCTCTCGAGGCGCTCCGCGTTCTACGTTTGCGCCGTTGCGATTTTCCAGCCGGAGCTGCGGGCTTTGCGCAAGTGCTTTGTGCAAGTTGCTTGCGTAAGTGTCTTGTGCAAGTTGCTCTTGCAAGTTACTCTATTCAAGTCCACGATAAACAGCCACAGTTTCTGCAAGGCAGGCTCGTGCAACCATGTGCAAGATGGCTCTGTGCAACCTGTGAAACTTGGCTTTGCGGAAGCTACTTTTCGCGAGTGACTCTGCGCAGCTGGTTCTGCGCAAGTTGGCCCTGTGCATGTCTGCTCAGCGCCATGTGCTTTGCGCAAGTTGCGCTGCATGATTTCTCGCGCAAGTGGTCTGTGCAAGCTGTGTTGTTCACAATGCTGCTAGCAAGTTGCTCTCTGCAAGCTGCTATGCTCAGCCTGAGCTGCGCCCACCCTTCGCATACTACGCATGTACTTATAAATGTTACGCAGTTCGAGCTGGAGCTGTGGAGGCGCTCCACGTACTACGATTGTTCCTATAAGTTGCGGTTTCCCAGCCGGAGCTGCGGGCTCTGCGCAAGTGCTCTGTGCAAGTCGCTTTGTGCAAGTTGCTCTGCGTGAGTGTCTTGTGCAAGTTGCTCCTTGCAAGTTGCTTTGTTCAAGTCCACGATAGACAGCCACAGTGTCTGCAAGGCGGGCAACTTAATTTGGTCTGTGCAAGATGGCTCTGTGCAACTTGGCAAACTTGGCTCTGCGCAAGCTACTTTTCGCGAGTGACTCTGTGCAGCTGGTTCTGCGCAAGTTGGCTCTGTGCGTGTCTGCTCAGAGCAATTTGTTTTGCGCAAGTTGCGCTGCGTGATTTCTCACGCAAGTGGTCTGCGCAGGCTGCGTTGTCGTACGAGTACGACTTCAAGACTATGTGATGGTTTTCCATGTCATAATTGTTCGCACGCATATGTGCCGATGATGTCAGTTGCTGCGCTGAGAACTAATTCTGGTTATCGGATCGCTGTTCAATGGAGTACTGCTTTCGGTCGATCTCTAGGGATGGATTTTCATTCCAACGTGCCAGAAATAATCCTACCACACTATGATGTCAGCAGCTATCATATACTCCCTTGAGTGTGAGCGTCCATGGAGAGTTGCCAGGCGGCCCAGGTTTAAAGGACACGCTGCTTGTGCGAACATCCTCGGGCTGGACGAACATTTCAGATTCTAATGACCTGAACACTCTCGTGCAAGCTTGTGCCCTCTCAGCCCTGGGCAAAGGTGCACGGACGGTGGTGGATACTAATTATAGAAACGCCCACGAGCTGACGCCAGAAAACCCGCAGCTACAGTGAGACTGGAGTTTGACAAGTTGTCGGTGTACCCCGAGCGTGGCTTTTCCAAGGCACACAAGGACACACCAGCGCAAGCAAATCTCTTAGGGTCTTTGGTCGTTTGTCTGCCGCAGACTTTTGAAGGAGGAGAGCTGATAGTCACGTCACCCCAAGGCGGCGCAGAGATTCTGGACTGGGCGAAGAAGTCGACCCGAAGTGTTCAATGGGCTGCCTTCTTTGCAGACTGCACCCATGAAATTTCTCCAGTGTCACAGGGTGTTCGAGTTACTTTGCACTACCATTTTTTTACAGAGCGCGACGAGCCTTTGCCAATCCTGGCCCCGGAGAAAGTCAAGGGACTGCTCAGAGAGCTACTTGAACACTCCGAGTTCGACTCGGTGGCCATCCCCTTGCTGCTGCACCAGTATCTTGGCTGTTCTTAGCTCGCCCTAGGGTTCAGTAAGGTGTTTCCCTTGTTGAGAACAGTCAAGGTATACTGTGGGTGTGCGCCACGTGAGCGCGCCGTGAGCACGCAAACGCGTACGCACGCGCGCGCGCGAACATGCACACATGCGTACCTCCATGCGCGTGCGCGCTCGCTCACACGGTGGGTGGGTGGGTGGGTCAGGAGGCCTCACCTGACGGGCTGGCCATGTGGGTGGGTGGGTGGGGTGGGTGGGTGGGGGAATGGGCTGGCGGAGGGGGTGGGGTTGCCGAGTGGAAGACGTTGGGCGAGCAGCCCTTGCAGCCAACCTGGGTGGGTGGGGTCTGCAATCGTTTTTTGTTTTGATTTCTCGAGTTTTTTTAGTTTTGCTGGTGTTTTTGAATTGATTTTGTTTAGGTGTGTGCAGCTGTAGTCATTGGGGCAAATGGTTTTGTTCAGGCGTGTGATGTAGTCCTTGGCAGTGCAGGCTCAAGACAATGAAGATGTACCAAGGTTTCTTCTTTCCAATCTCCAGAGCCTCAAGTTCGTGTTTAGTCGAGCACCCCACTCCAGCTGCCCGGATATCCTTTTTTGGCCCTTCAGTTGCCGAGCCCAGCGCCCGTCCGTCGGGTGCCGGGACCCGGGTCCGCGTCCCTTCAGCGAGCGCCATGAAGCTCCCGGACCTGGTGCGGCGAGCGGGGCAGCTGGGGTCCATGGAGGAGACTCCGCGATAAGCCGAAACGGGAACCGCCGGACCGAACACCCACCGGTACCTCGGTTCTCTGCCTCGTGTTTCGTTTTTTTTGGGCGAGCTCACGGAACTCGGGGGTAAAAAGAAAGAAACCCTCTTATGGTAAAGAGATCTTTCTGTTTGGATCCGATTCAAACTTGAGGTTTTGGATGTTTTTGGTGCAACATTTGCAGATCTCATGAATCTCATGACCAAACCAAGTAAAACATAGGGGATCTTTGGACAAGTGCCCTTGCTGGGCCAACTGAAATCCAAGCGGCAGCTAGCAATGGGGAATGGACACATGTGTGCCAGTTGGGGACTCAGTGAAGGTTGAGCGCTCTTGGCCGTGACTGACCCTTCCATTTTCCTCAGGGTGGTTCCCAGCAAGGAAGGTGTTTCTGCCGGGTTTTGGCAGAGCTGTACTTGGTTTTGGCGCTTTCAGCCGTATTTGGCAGCCGTATTTGGCAGCTGCATTTGGTTTTGGCCGCTGTATTTGGTCGTCAGTTGTCGGTGCTGCTTCCAACCAAAACCCCGGCTAGGAGCACAAGCGTGCGGAGACGGAGAAGGACCTGCGAACCGGCCAAGAAATTTTTTGGCGCGAAAGGGAGCTCCCAGCATTTGGGGGGTGGGTCAAAGTAAAGCCGGGAATTGGCAAGCAGGTTATGATTCGGTGTACCAGGGCAACCCATTTTGGGGTTACCCTATTTTTGACCCCTTCGAGCCATTTCAAGGGCTCGGAGGTGAACCAGAGTTGAGTTGAGTTCATAGGCTCCAACTCCAATTCAAAACAGTTCTACTTCCTCCGACCTTCCCGGAGTACCCCTTGTGGAACTCAGGGAGTTCCATTTTCCACGTGGGTTTGTCTTGAAGCTGCTTGCTTCTGATGGCTCGAAAAGGCCACCATCTAAAGGGTCTTAGCACATTTTCTAGGTCAGCCACATGAAGGCTGCTAGAGTTGTCAGGGGAAACAAGCAATAATTGTTTTTGCATGAAGATTCGCCTTGAACACTTTATCCTAAGCAGCTTCCACCAGTGTCCATGGTCAGCAAATTGCCAATTGAACAAGGTCTCTCTCTCTCTCTCTCTCTCTCTCTCTCTCTCTCTCTCTCTCTCTCTCTCTCTCTCTCTCTCTCTCTCTCTCTCTCTCTCTCTCTCTCTGAAGGCGCAAGGGGCTGGTTTGACTGGCTGCACTGGGGGGCTGGACAAAATACAACGGGGCAGATTGTCAGCAATGATTGGCAGTGTGGCAGGATTGGCTTTCCATTGCGCTCCAAAGAAACCTGAGAAAACCTTTCATCCGGGTCAGCAGAATGTTTCTGAGCACTTCCAGTTTGGAACCATATCGAGTGAGCTGATAGTTCCTAAGCCCAGGAAAAGGTTCAGCGCTCAGAACCCCAAGATTCCGCGGCCCAGGGGTGTCCTCGTGTTTCTTTCCCGATATATCTCTGTGGTCCAAGTGTCAACTGGTTGCTTACGACGGCGTGCGAATGAGTGGGACCGGAGTCCAAAAGCTCTTTTCGGCATGAGTCAATGGCTGCTTATTTTCCACCCACGGGAACTCAGTCCAAGAATGAAGTGTTTTGTCTGCTGGTTATGTTCTACCCTGTCACATGGGGAAAACTGGGTGTGGCTTGTGGGAAACCCCGCCTCCCCAACTCTGCTTAAAACAGCAACAAAGCCGCAGGTATGGCTCGAGAGCCTCAAACATTGGTTTCCCTTTGAAAGTGGCCTCCCAAAGTGGCAATTTCAGTGGAACCACATTGATCAACTTTTGTTTTGGGGAATCCAGTGCTTCCTGTGTTCCACATTGGGTCTTCAGACAAATACAGGTGTGGTTAGGCTTGAGACAATGAGACCCAAGCAACCACACCACCACATATTTGGTTAAATGTGAATCACCCCCAAACAGCAAAATCCCAGTGGCGCAAAGATCAACTATATATCTTGAATCAAACACCCCGGGCCGCAACAAAAAGGAAAGGCAATACATATATATATATATATATTTAAATTATACAAAACAATACATAAGACAATACAAGCATTAAACAAAGCCAATCAACACATCATATCACTACACGAACCAAAATTCAATTCAGTTTCCTGGCTCCCTCCCCTGGCGCATTCATTCCGGAAGCCTCGGCTTTCGCCTCCCGAGTTCCCGAGTTCCCGAGGTTCGGGGAGGTGCGGCTGGGGTTCCTCGTGCCGGAGGCCCTGGACCTCGACATGGCCACAGAGGACATGGCCGCCTTCCTGCGGCTCATCGTGAGCCCTGCGCCCAGAGAGAATCTGAGGACCCCACCTGCCTGCCACGGGAGAAAGGAGTTTTTTTTTGGGGGGGGGAGACAACAATTTTCGATGGTGCCCACGTTTTTTTTGTTGTTGTTGGGGGGGGGGCTGAAAAAGCCTACGCCTGCCACGTTTTTGTTTTTTTCCCCCTAGCGCAGTGGAGCTTACAGCTTGGCGGCAGCCTTGCTGCAGTTACAGCTTTCGGTGGACATCACCGGCGGGGGTCGCTTCCGGCTATTTACATTGCCACGTTTCGGGGGGTAACTCAAAGGGGGGGAGAAAAAGTGTGGAGGACTTTGGTAGAAGTCAATGGCTTTGACGGTCCTTTTTTTCGGGTTGGCGCCCCTGCTGTTTCTATTGGGCGGTTTTTAAAGGGAGCCAGAAGGAAAACCGGAGAACCGCCATTCTGCGGGCTCCCCCGAAAGGAAGAAGAATCGACACACCCATTTGGGGAGAGAGGCTCTTTGGCCCGAAACATTGGAGTCAAGGTTTGTGAGAGTATTTTATATATATATATATATATATATACTTTCTTTCTCCGGTTTCTTTTGATCTAGACAAACTCATTTGTTGGGTTCCCGAATGTTGGAGCCACTTCTGTGTCATCCACGAGTTAAAACAGCACACACATTCCTTCTTGTTTTTTCTTTCTCATTTTTTCTCCCACGCCAAGGGGTAGGTTGAAGGGACGTTTTTGAGGGAACACGCACTTGGCAACTTGTTTAGTACCAAGTGGCAACCCACACAATTTTTAGATAGTCACCAGAACCCCTGCGGTTTCACACCAGAGGTTAAAGGGGACCCCCTGTGTTTGGTTTACTGAACACTTGATCTCCTGCAACATTTGGCTCAAGGCCCCTTTTGTGTAACATTGCATCATTCATGATCGCGTGAAGCAAAAGAACCTTAGCAGGCCGCTTACAGGATTATAAACAAGACAATCCACCAGGGACAATCCATCCTCCAATCATCCACAGTGGCATACTGGATTCTCTCCGGAATAGATCCAGGGACCAACACAACGACCTCAACTACCACAGGGTTCCAGTTCCCTTCTGGGATAGGCACCTGGGGCAGTGGGCCTCAATTTGTGGTAGCGGAGCGGGTTTTCCGCAGAGATCCAAGGGAAGATGTCATCCGATGGAGAAGGCTTCATGGAAGCCTATTCAAGTATGGCCAAGAATCCAGGCTATACGGAGGAAACACTAAATTTATCGATGACCGCCAAGCAGCCGCCATCGTACGACGGAACTCGTGGACGACTGGGTGACCATCACAACGGTGGAAGCACCCAAGAGAGGACCTCTGCTCAAAAGCAGATTGACCGGTGATGCAGATATGTACAAGGCAGTCCTCCAAAACGACCTTTTGCAAGATCCTGATGAAGGAGTCAACTATTTCAAGAACACGCTGAAGAAGTACTTTTTGAAAGGTGCGACCAACGTGTATCTGTACAGGCTCCTCAGTTTCTTCAACCACAGAAGGCAGAACCAAGAGTTCCTCATTTTTACCTCAAAATTCGAAATCCTTCTTATGAGATTGAAGGCAGCATGGATGGACTTGATGCCCGTTTTCACGGCACAGTCCCCATCATTTCGACAGTCCGTACAGGACGCAAATGCAAGAACAATTGCTCGAGATCAGCAAGCAGCCGGTGTTCGAGCACCGCCTCCAGCCCTGCTCAATGAGGATGATCCAGTAGTCCTCAGACAGTATATCCAAGGAATGCACAGTTTTTCATTATTCAAAGTGAGCTGTTAGATCAGCAAAGAGAGAGACTGACAAGTGCAATGTCATTGAGAAACATCTCACTAGAAAACTACTCCTATGAGATGCTGAAGACGCACTACCATGAACTCTTCATCACGACGAGGACATCAATCCAAGATCCATCCATCCGACCTCAAGGAGGCAACCGAAGCAACACATTCTTCATCATCGAGCAAGGTGAATACGAAGGAGAAGAAGGCTTCTGGGTTGAGGATGAAGAAGGACTTGAAGGATTCATGTCAAACAACGATGAAGAGACGTTCTGGGTCCTCAAGGAGAACGATGCGTTCATAGCAAGAAAAGTGTCGGAAGGAAAATCAGGAAACAAAAAGGGCAGTCACCAACGAGGTGGCTTTAAACCCTTTCGAACAAGCGGTTCTGGCGGAAAGGCCAATATGGCCAACGAAAACTATGATCCCTACGACCAGGCATATTGGGGAAAAGGCAAAGGAAAGAAGGGAAAGAAAGGAAAATCAAAATTCCAATATCCCTATGATGGAAACAAAGGTTATCCATCCTATGAGAGTGGCAAAGAAAGAGCGGACAGGAGAAAGGAAAATCCAAGACGTTCGCAGCCACCGCAGAGAAGACGGAGGAGCAGCCCGCCATCCAGCAGACTGCACCATCCATAGAGCCTACCTATGCCGGTTGGACAGACCAAGACTGGGATCAATCATGGACATGGAACGAACATGGCTGGTACTCATCCCATGAGACATCCAGATCCAATCAGATACAGTTTCAGAACACAATCTGTCCGTCACAACAAATCACAGCCTTCTGGCAACAAAGCTGATGGCGCCTGTCATCAACCCTCAGCGCAACCCGACCTATGCGATTCTGGACAATGGATGTACCAGATCTATGGGCAGCTGGCATGCAATCCAGCGTTTTACTCGGGCCATCGAACCAATGAAGGACATCATCTCCTATCAGTACATCCCGGCCGAGACCAAGTCCACTTTTGCAAACGGAGAGACCGCCAGGGTAAATTGGACCCTGCGTCTTCGATATCACGCAACTCCTCCATGCAGTACCAACATCGACGTCCTTGAACAAGGAACTGTACCGATCCTCCTCAGCATCAGCCAGATGCGGGCTCTACATGACCATCGAGCACGCATTGAGGCAAGATCACGCAAAGCCTTTGGCATGAACCGTCAAGCAGTTCCAGTATCCGGTACAGGACATGCACTCGTCGATCTCGCTGGAGTTGCAAGAGTGAAGGCGCATGGAGAAATTGCTCACAAAGGCCTCACCAACTATGTCTATGACGATGATAACAGCATCAAGTTTCTGTCCAGGGATCTCACCGAGAGTGAAACCGTTTGTGCAGCCAAATCATCCGAGACAAAGGAGGACCTAGCAACTCCTAAGATCATTGGGTCTCACGCCCCGAAAGGCGCTGTTCACACCAAATGGAGCCAAGGAATGTCCAATCAATCCTGATCACATTAGCCGGGAACGTACTACGGAAATTGATGCATCCGCAGGTGGAGATCCAGACATTTTAGAAGACAATTGGTGAAATAAACCGATGATTAACCTGTGGACAGGTAAGACCATCTTCACCTTCGCGGACAATTCGCTTAAGGACGAAGAAGCAGGTTCAGGATCGGCAGCAGACAGGATCATCGACAAGAGGGGCCGGTCGACTATTGAGCCAGATCCTTTCGCACCATCCTCAGAAGAACCAACATCGCTTCCGCTTGCCCTAGGCAGAATTCACAAGCGATTGTCAAATCCCGAAGAGTTGAAGAAACTCCACCTACAGCATCATCACATGACAACAGATCAATTTCGATTTAGAACCCGAGCACTTCATTTGCCGAAACCAACATTCGATCTATTTGACAAAATCCGAAGTGAGTGTGAAGTTTGCCAAGCGGCAAAACATGCACCATCACGAAGCAAAACAAGTGGACTTCGAGCGGACACCTTTGGTGACATGACATTCATTGATCACTGTCAAGTTCCTCTTGGAACAGGAGAACACATCATTGTTTTTGTCATCCTGGATGGAGCAACAACATTGCTCACTGCAGAGGCAGTGACAACTACGCAAGAAGCCGAGAACATCACTGTCCTCAGGAACTATTTTGACCAGTACCACTTGCAGCCCAAATCAGTTGTCGCAGATCAAGCCTTCATGACAGATACATGGGAACATTTCTATCAGTCCCTTGACATCACACCGATATCCTTGGGACCGAATACACCATGGCCAAATCGAGCTGAAGCAGCAGTTCGACTCCTGAAGGCACAACTCAAGATCATGCTAAGTTCCATCAAGGCAGGTACAGCACCTGCAACACTGAAGAAAGTGACATACAGGCAGCTAGTGAAGGCCGCTGCAACTGTCAGGAATCAGACCGTCACCTACGGGGGTGTAACACCATTGGAGCTCGCATTCGGAAGACGACCAGCAGATCTCATCCAACTCGATGTCGCAACACCAACTCAGTTGACGATTGACAGGAATGAAGAAGAGCTGACAGCCATCCAGGTCAAGCAGCTGTCAAAGCAAGCTTTCCAAGAAGCACGTCAATCCGAAGACATCCGACGAGACCTTGCTCAAAATCTCCGAATGAGTTCAAAGCCTCTTCAGGTGAAGGACAAGGTATTCTACTGGCAGGAAGACAAATCCAAGATTCGTTCCGATGGAAGCAAGGGAGGAATATGGCTAAAAGGAAAGGTCATTTCCATTGAAGGAGCGATGGTAGGACTTGATCTTGGGACTCGACTCATCAAGGTTAACATGACGAAGCTCAGGAAGGATGAAACCATCCCTCCGGGGAAACCCGGAATTGATCTTCTATTACCTGAAGAGCGAGAATCCTTGCAGAAGGAGCAACCAGGCTCCTCTGCAGATACCAAGAAAAAGGAATCATCCGCACCAGCTCCTAAGCCAAGATCCTCAGTGCCATTACGTATCGCGGGAAAACAACTTCAAAACCTGCAGTACCTCATCCAGCAGAGAACATGTTCGTCGAGGACCTCACATCCATTCCTGAACAAGCACATTGGAATTGTGTACGTAAAGGAAAGATCCACGTTCTCGAGATCTTTGCAGGAAGTGCCAGATTCAGTGAATGCTGTGCACTATGACATCCGCACAGGATTCGACGTAATGACATCCAAGGGACGACACATGGTCATGGAGATCATCAGAGAACAAGCACCTGATGTCATCCTAATGGCACCGGTCTG